TGCTGTCATGTAAACAGCTGGTCTAAAGCTGTTGCAAATTTGGCCACACAAGCACGCAAAACAATGTTTTCTTTATTTAGTTTTGAGTATAAAGTTGGTATACTTAATTATGATGTTTATTTCAGACTATTCGATGCTTTAATTTTACCAATTCTTTTGTACGGGGCAGAAATTTGGGAGTTTAAGCAATATATTCAGGCTGAAAGAGTGCAGTTGAAATTTTGTAAACATTTTCTTGGGGTTTGTGATAAAACATGTACTGAAGCTGTACCTGGGGAATGTGGGCGGTTACCCATTTTTGTAAACTCTTTGTTAAAATGTATAAAATACTGGTTACTAGTCACAGAACTTCCTGAAGGGAGAGTTGTAAAGCATGCTTACAGACTTATGTATAAAATAGATGATGTATAAAATATACTTCATATGTACGGCTTTGGTATGGTTTGGATATCCCAGGGCGTGGGGGATGTAAACCTGTTTTTGGTACAGTTCAAGCAGCGGGTAATTGATATTCATGGCAGGATTGGTACAGTGAAATATGTTGCACTGCTAAACTAAGGTCATATTGTAGTTTTAAAACCATGCTTGAACCAGAAAGATATCCTTTTGTAGTCATAGAGGCTAAACACAGACATGCTCTAGCACGTATTCGCTGTTCTAGTCATAGATTGCGCATTGAAGCGGGGTGCTATACAGGGTTGGAAATTGATGAAAGAATATGCAAGTTTTGTTTATCTAATGTAGAGGACGAGTACCATTTTGTTCTTGTTTGCCCATTATTTTACTCTATGAGGAAACAATTAATTTCTGAGTATTTTTGGCATCTTCCCATTTCAGAAAAATATTATAGTCTAATGCACTCAAAATCCGCAAAGGTACTACGTAATCTTGGTAAATTTCTACATAAAGCATTCAACTTTAGAAGGGAGTTTTCGTTACTTTTGGTATAAGAATTTTGTTATATATATGTATTTTACAATTTCTGTACATTCTCCAGTGCTTGTGTATTCTTTTGTTTTTCTGTTATGTATAGTCATATGGGCCTGTGGCCTAAAAGACAATAAACATTATTATTACTAAAAAAAATATGTGATTTTGGTGTTTTGTTATTTCAGTTTTCTACAACTCCCCCTTCCATAGTTTGTACTGCTTCTTCAGGAATTTAACTGTAAATGGATTGCATGCTACACACTAAATATATAGTACTACTGAATGGAATATGAAGTATTGATTTACAATATGTGAGCAGCTGCATGAATTGATAAATAACCCATAGTTACGATATTACGAATTCAGAATTCCCTTACATTGTCTCTCAGGATAGTTGTACAGTTTAATGTTTAGTTACTGTTGCTAGGCAACAACATTTTTTTTTAATTCTTACCTCTTCTAAACAAATAATTGTGCAGAATATTTGGCTTAATATGACATAAAGCTGTAATATCTTTTTTTCAGAATTATTTGTCAGATACAACTCACATTTGTTATAAACGTATTAACAACTTTTGTTTCCTTTCACAAAAAAAACAAAACAATGTAATCTTTTCTGTATTTTTTTTTACAGTTTTTTGGTATTTGGTTCAATAAATTAAGAAGAAAATCATTAAACTACTTAAAATGAGCAAAATAACAATTTGGTGAGCCCCATTCAGAGGGTTTAACTAAATTGCAGACAGTCAATATATTTTCCAGTATACTGGCACTTGTTGGAGTCAGGGTTGAGGAATTTGATTGACATGTGTATAATTGTTGTGGAAATAATGAATTACATTGGTGTCATTGAGTTCAACTTTTATCCATACTACCTGTGAACCTATTATTCATTGTCCCCATTGTCTTCTTTTACAAATTATGCTTGCAAACAAAATTCCTGTGTTGTTCAAAATTTTCGCTCCACTGCTAATCCTGTGTATGTAAAATTATGTCCACTTGGTTTAAAATTAAAGGAAAAATAGCAAACAATGCAAAATTTTATGTTTGACCAGCTATAAAGTTTGTGCAAATTTTAATGAATTTAAAGGCTGGAATGCTAATAATGTTCACCGAACATCTTTTTTGCATTCAGGACAAGAGGATTATCACAACAAAAAGAAGTCTTGAAAAAGGTTCACAAATGGTATATGGCAAATCGCAGTGTGTTGAATTGTTTACCGGTAAGTCCATTTACCCTCTGTTATCCGATTTTAGTATTAACCATTTGAGCACCCAAATCTTTCCTGCTAAAATTACACTGCAACATTTTACACATCTTTTCTTTAATTTTGTACCAAATCTCATTGCTTGCAGGTTTTAATGAAATGTTTTGATCAAATTCAGAAAAAAATGTTAATTTTGTGAATGGTGCCAAACGTTCAGCGTTGCATTCAAAATATTAAGCATTTATTACTAAGTCTCTTAATTCCAAATTTATGTAAGTACTTAGACCAGTTTGTATTATTAGCTGTCAAAGCTGGAATTCTTTGCATCTGTCATTTTGTATTAACAATCTATTGCTCATTGTAAAGCCATGAGTTAGTGACTGCTCTGTATTTAAATAATGAATAGAATAATAGAATAAATAATGTTTTAACAAAAAAATAATTATATCAATATTTTAAGTTGAAATTATTATCATTCTATAGTTAATTAACAAATAAATACTGGGTGAGGTGGGTTGAGGTGCAAAAATATTTTATAAGGTTTGAGTTAGATTTCATTTTCTATATGAAAGTGCTATTTTTTTCTCTCTAAACAGTTTACTTACCAACTACTTCTATCTTACCTGCATGTTAAGTTTCAAATCGTCTTCCCTAACAAAATTTGTTCAAGTTTCTCTTCTCGAATTAGAATACAATCCTTATTTCTTATTTTTCATGAATTTCATGAGATATTGTGGCATTTGGAGAAACAAAAGATAGTTGTTAGGTGTCAGTCATGTTTCGGGGTGATGTACTTGACATGTGACTTCAGTTTTGCTACATTGTTGAATTTAACTAATGTATAAGATTTATTGCATTTAATATGTAATCATAGATATGGAGAAATGTAATTTTAATAATTTATGAATACATATTGTATTAAAAAACCAACTCAAAAGTGTGTTTTTTTATAAGTGGTAATTAAAATGTTAATCTTTAAGATTGACTAAATATAATTATATTTCCGAAAATAAAATTAGTATAATATGCTGTTATTTAAAAAATTATTTGTCATATTCCATTTGAGAATATTAAAAATCAAATTCAATGGGAATGTATTCTTTTTGTGTGTACATTTACACATCATAAATTAGTAAAAATGAAATACAAAACTTTCTTTTTATGCAAGAATATAAATAGAATTAGGTCTATAGATTATTAATTGCATTCAATTGGACTGGAAAAATTTATTCACTCAATAATGAAGACCAGTCACATTGAACTATAAGGCCAGACTTTTATTCCTTGTTTCTCGAGTTTTTATAAGGCAATTTTTTTGAGGAGGGCGGAAAAAAAATAAAATTAATTCTTTTTTGCCATTAGATTTGTGTGATTATCAAAAAATTGTAAGTGAGATCATTGATCAGAGAGAAGAAATGAAATAAAATTTTATTCCATGTATAACCTTGTTTCTCATCGGTACTTTGATCATGATACTCCCACGAAAATGCAACTTGGATTTGGTATGCGGCGGGCGGTAGAAAAATGAATATAAAAATAATATTTTTTAGCAATTTTTTGCGCTTACAAGTTGGCGGACACGAGAAATTATGTTGAAATAAAATTTTATTTTTATTTCATTTTTGGCTTCTGTTCATTCGGCAGGTTTGCGAAACAAGGGATAATAAATGTCTGGCCTAACTAGTACATAGTGACCATACCAATACAACATAGTTCTAAAATAGGTACCATAACCCTGGGTAACCATTCCAGTGAGATGGACAACCATAATCCTGACTTTTGAAGAAAGAACAGCCTGTGTACATTTAAACTGTGCTGCTGATTGTTCAGGATGTATACATTGTTGGTTTCTTTGCTATATTGTGAATACTTTGTAGCATTATAAATACTTTATACTTAATGGTTTTAAACAAACTTGAGAATCTAAAGTGCATGTCTACATAGATTTATATAGTTTATAATGGGGCTAGGCAAACGCACTATATCGCAGTATTAATTACATAGTTACTTAATATGAAAGCTATTGACTAAGTTTTTAAACAAAACAAATGTTCATTGTCATTTGATGTTGCGATAACATGAATTTCTTGATTTTTTTTTTCTTAAGGTAGAGATGCATGTTTGTGGGCACTTGGGAGTGAATTTTTTTTTTTGCTTTTTATTATCCAAACAGTCTTAGCTATAGACTGTTAACATTTTGTAGAATTGTGAACATACTAAAAAAAAAACGATTTTAAAATATAGATAACAGGTGCAAACATTCTCTCTTTTGAATGCTAGCAAGATTTAGCAAGGCTGTACATAAATAATAAAAAAGAAACATGTTGAAAAAAAGAAATGATGGGATCTCCATATTATGCACTATATTTAACTTTTAACAAAACAAAAATTTGGGCTGCTGCCCTGCAAAATTGACAATTGGTAGACAGTTTTCAAGACGGTGCTTTCTTCATAGTAAACAGATGTATCGGTACCCACAAACCAATTTTGACAGGAAACAGAAGCATGGTTTAGGAGCTAATTTTTTTTAAATCACTTTTGACCAAAAAACTATTTCAAACTACAGTGTCCATAAAAAAAAATTCATACAATAAGCTTTCCGAAAATATATAGTTTTGTGGACAAGGGAGGTCATCTTGGTTTCCTAATTAACTAATTAAAATACCTGTCAGGTAAACTGCATCTCTACCTTAAATGGCAGTGAAAAAGTTGTTTTTCTTTGTCACAATTATATTGAAAAAAATGGACATTACAGAACCACATTCGTTAAAACAAAAGCGCTGCCAGTCTGCCATTTTGTATCAGGGTCCCATAATGCATTGCAAGTGATTGCCATGTTTTATTTTAGCTTCATAACTTGAGTGATTGAATTGAATCTTTATTATTTATTTATTTATTATCTTACTATTACAGCATTTTGGTAGTGATAGGCGAAGCAAGACAAATAAGACTGTTTTGAGATTTGCGCCAGATGTCATTGCTCATTATACATCGCCAAGGACCCCGTCTAGCATTAATAAGCCAAAACGAGAGGATGAGCTTGATATAGCTGTTCAGAAAGTCTCACTTGCAAATAAAGATAAAGAAACGAAGAGCACCACAAGTTATGCGAATGATAAGATCAAAATCGGTGAAAACCGTCAAACTGGTCTGAAAAGACCAACGACTGCACCGCCTGTATTGGAAAGGTCAAAGGTTAGATATACATACTTTTAAAGAGCTGAATTTCTAATTAATATTAGTGAAAATCAATAAATAAATGGCATAGAGGAAAAGTACTTTACGTTTATTAAGAATTGTATGTGGTATATTTATTTCACTAAATATCAAGAAAATCTGCACAAGGGAGATTTTGACGTTACTATAATCTCTGTATTCGTGTGATTGTTTGCCTTAAAGATTGTGTCATAAGCTTCTTGAAAATAGTCAGTTCCCAATCATTTCAAATTTATGCATACTAATTGTGTTATACAAATTTGTTTTCAGCCTGCATTTGGTGAGATGAAAAGTTCAGAATTTCAAGGAGCCAGTTTTACTGGGCAGTATGTGGCTCACAACCTTGTACCCAAACCACCCAGACCAGCTAGTGCTGTTAGTATTATGAGAATGTCAAGTAAATCACCCTATGGGGACAAGGTAAGTTAGGAGGTATCCCACAATGCAATACATACAAATGTCACACGGAGTACAAAAGAATGTATAATGTAATAAAAAAAATAATTATTCAATAATAACTATACTGGTAGTTTTGATTGTCACAGTCCAGTTGATCTACTTAAAATATACTTTTTTTTTAAATAACTGTTCAACCTTTGGGTATCTAAGCTCTCAATAAATTCATCCATTTTGTGTGCATTGTTTATGCAAGTTGTTTTTAGTACATCCTGTAGTTTGGACACACCTGTGTTTAGAAATATATTTATTATACAATAGCAGGAACACCCTTAATATATAGAGTGAAGGACGTGAATGTGTGACTTTAGGGTTTTTACCTCATAGGTATAGAACACACCTGTGAAGTAGAACCAACCAAGTGATAGATAGAATGACATCAAGTATTATTGATCAATTGACCTTTTAATGACTTAACCTTGTCCAGCCAACATTTTGCTCTAACACTTTGCACATTTTTATGTATTTTTCTATAAATTTTTGTAAGTTTCTGCCCAAGCTACAAATTAGGGGTATAGCGTTATTTTGTGGGATATGACAACAGTTCATTATTGTATTTAAAGGTTTTATGTTGTCTACTGCAAATATTGTCATGTCACTTAAAACAGGTGTGTCTGTGCAGACAATATGTTGTACATGTTTTATACAATAGGTGAGGTAGTCACTTGCATTTACCCAGAATTCATGCTACTTCCTGGTTAGATGTCAGTACCCTTTACAATGTTGGTTTTAGAGCAGATAGATGCTGAATGACATATTTTCAATATATCACATTTAATCGATATTATTTTAGAAATCATATAACAATAACCACCTTATTAATTTGGATAAATGAATAAAACTATTATTGACCATTCAGGACTTCAAATGTGTTGACACGGAGAGTTTGAATGTCACATGACCAAAATGAAATAACTTTGCTTTATTTATTTTCTACAACTGTTTATGTAACACAATAAAACTTGGCTTATTTCATCTAAATGTATACAGAGTAAAATATTTTCCAAAAATGTTCTTGTGGTTTGTTCATTTTTGTACATGATAATGATGTTTTGCTAATTTTTAATTAAAGATGCCATTTATGAAAGAGATATCGAAAGATGAGAAACCTACTCGTCCTGAGACTGCAAGTTCAATTGGTTCATCCATATCAATAAATCTACCGTCTTCCAATGACCACTCACCTCACATTTCAAAAGTACCAAAACTTATACCCAAAGGAATGACAGTTGCTGAAGTCATTAACCCAACAGCACAACTTTTATTAGAAGAAGAAAATTATGACACTGATGGATATTCACCTGATTCTAGATCTTCTTCTGCAGTCAGACGGTTACAAGTCAGTGTACCAACAGGTAGAGTTGATATCATTTGTAATTTATTTATAAAATGATAATAATAGTTTTGAGTTCCCTGGTTGATGTGTTAATGAGCATACACATATGACAAAGGGTTAGGCAGTCAAATGTATAACCAGTCGTTCACAAAACTGTTTACCTCAGTTCAATAAAAGAAAGAACGTATGAATACCAAAATGTTATAAATACTGATTTATTCACCTTTATTGTGGGTAAATCAATGAAAAAACTTTTCTATGTTTTACAAACAGTTTTGATGATAATATGGATACCTGGAATTTTGAACCAACATGTTTGGTACAAAACAAATAATATTTTGAAATATATCAGCCTAATACTACATACTTCTGCTGACTGAAATTGAATGAATGTTGTATGACAGCTAAGTAACCAGAAAACGTGTAATTTCACTATTGTTCAGCATTTTCAACCATATAGTTACTCAATATGATGCAAGATGCAACTCAAAAACATGAACACAATAATCATGAAAAATAATGAGGTGAGAAGAAAAACACTATTGTCAAGAAAAGTAGATCTGCACTCAAATGATCCACATAATCACATTTTTATTATTATGTTTGTACTTTGTAGATGAAGCTACAATGACCCCCAAACATGCGTCTCCAACACCGGAAGAAAAAAAGGCAGCGAATTTGAAGGCCTGGGAAGAATTCAAACAAAAACAAAGTTATGGACAGGATTTCATTGGTCGGTTACAATTTTACGGCCGTAGTGGAACTCCTCACGGTATACGATATAGCTCACATGAAGCGTGTGAAAAACCTGAATACTACACGGATGAAGTTATTGCAAGCTATGCCGTACAAAGTGAAGACACTGTATCTAAAGGTGAATTGGAAAGTTGTATAGCATTGCAAACCCTGGAGAAGAAATGGTAGAAAAAAACTGATAATTATTGTTTTCATTCACTTTTAAGCTAGATTTGTTTTCAGAATAATGTTGCTGTACATCTTTTTTGCATTTTTCTGGTCATAGAAAAATTTGTTCTGGTAGTTTTTCTTGTAGAATTATTTTTTAAAACCTACACCCCCTAATTTTTAATAAGTCAAATCCCAAAGTAATAAAAAAAAAATTAATGCTGATTCCCCCCAACACAAACAGGTTATCTGGTTAATATATTCTAGGGAATTGTCAAAATGAACTACAGTGTATTGATCTTTTGAACATTGACATTTCAGTTTTTGTAGTCTTATTATGAGGAAAACAATTACTAGTTAGAGTACCAAAATACTCTGGGTGGGTGGGTGGGTGGGTGCATTCTACAGACCAGTATGGAGGCTAGTGTGAGGAACTTGATAAGATCCAAGATGACTCATATTGGGGAATGCAACACTTTGGACAGGTTTTCACTAAATTTTGGCAAAGAGAAGTATTCTCACTATTTGAGACTCTAAAGAAACAACTTGGGGAACTAGTTTTTGAATTATGAACAAAAGCTTAATGCTAAGGGTAAATCACATTGTTATTGTGTTTGTGTGGTTGATGCCTAAAAATACTGCATTTAATTGCCATAATATGAAGAAAGAAAGATGCTCCCATAAACTTATTGTATGATAAATTATGTGTTGTGTATAATAATAATTTAATTATCTTTATAATCTGTATAAATTATAAAAGACTAATGTATTCACAGATAGTGATGACCATGATAGAATTACATACCAATCTTTGGAGAATTTCTACAAAGAAACAGAAACATATTGTATGGATCCAAAACAGAGAGGACAAACACCACCGGTTAAACTACGTCATAATGTACCGACAGACCCTGTATCTGTGCATGTGCCAAGCGAACTGACTCAAGATGCTAGAATAAAGTAAGCCCAATTATTGTTATACTGCCCCCTTGTGGCAGAATAGGTTGAGTATTTTGATTTTGTTGTGGCTTTGTTAATAATTTTTCATAATATACCTATAGGTCTTGGGGCCACTTTATTCATTACTATTATACAGAATTGTGCATTAGTTACAATTTCAGATCTATATTGTAAACTTTTTTAGTTTCATGGTAGACACATTTTGACTGGTGACTCGTCTTCACAAATGTCTTTCAATTAGTATTTTGTTTTGACCACAATTGAATGTTTTACATTATAAATGATTGTAAGTGATGCATGTTTTTGTCTCACAGGAGTGCAATTGAACAATACAAAAGACATCCTAGTGTTAAGTTTGACACTATTGTTGACTTAACAGAGACTGTCCGAGAACATATGGAAGAGTCCAGAGAAAAGGTATTCTACCTCAGATTACATAAGACATCAATAATTTTATACAATGTACATATAATAAATCACTGTCATGATTGTGTTTTATTTAATATTACATCATTAAAATTACAATTGATTAGTACAGTAGAAAAAACAAACCAAAAAAACCTGTTAGAACTTGTTCACAGCCACCATGGTCTCACTGAATTTGAGTAATATTAACTCAATTGCCAGATTGACCAAATGCGTATTTGGCTATGTTGTTTATTTGATTAGACTTGAATGTTGCCTTGTATGTTATTTATAGAAAATTATAGAATTTCTGTAAAAGTCTAAAGAAATTAGTGACAGTGCAAGGCCTGCTTATCACAATTGAGAGGGCCACCCACAAAATTCACACTGGACAGGGGGATCTTTCACTGCTAGTATGGGGTAGACAAGACAATAGTACCGGAAATGAAATAAACATACACCAAAATATCGAGTTAAAGCTCCTGGCTTTAATACCTCTCAAAATAATTACAAGAAACTAAGCATAGAAAAATACAATGAATAAAGTCACTAAAATAGGGTATTGCTTAGGGAAGTGTGCATTGATGATAACTCACAGTTCCAAGATGTATTAATGGACGACAGTCAATGGCTTCTGCAACACAACAACGAAGAAATACAGGAGTCTTGCTTGCAGAGGAATGCTGGTATTCTGGAGGGCACCGCTGGAAGCAGGAGATCACAGAGCAGTTCATACAAGTCTCACAGAATGATGGTTGTAGCCTGTATCACTTGTCACACAATATCGTAGTAGGACACACCGGAAACCAAGTTGAAATGATGTCCTGAGTCTATCACCACCTGGGTTTCCACATGAGCCAATCAGAATGTGATCTTGCTAGCAGCTGTGTCACATAGGCAACTCAGTAGATCATAAACATCCTTTGTTATTCAAATAACTGCACCTGGTAGATTCCAATTCTCCCTCCAAAGTTGTAAACACCGTTGTATGTAAATTACAAGCACACCTGGCAGATTCTACTGTCCTTCCAGAGTTGAAAACAAGTATCACCTTTATGACAGTTATCACAATGCACACCGTTTCTTCCCATGATTCCATGCACACTCCCATTTGCAGGGTTTGACAAAAACATAAAATAAATGATGCTGACAAAATTACACACATTTGTCTTCCATTTTTATAGAATTCCACAGAAATTCTATTGAAGTTTATAGAATTTGTATAGAAAAAGTACCAAATGTCTTAAATTATATAGAAACACCATAGAATTATTTAGCCATTTTTATAAGAGTCCTTTTAGTGCTAAATTTGTGAATTTATTGTGTTCACGTAACATTTACTGATTTTCCAGATTGCACCAGATGCTAAGTATGGTTACCATCAGCCAGCCATGGCACTACATAAAAGACCAAGCACGGCACCGGATAGGATAATGAGTACTCCGGTACCACCCAATAGTGACAGACCATCATCAGCAAGGTAGTATGGGTAATATTATGGGATATTGGGGTTAGGATGAATAATAGTGGGATGATAGTTATTTTGTATGCAAAATTGTTTCTATGGAAATAGAATTTATTTCAAATTGAAGATATATCATGATTTAAGTCATCATTGTAACATTTCACATACTTCTACACAACTGAAGATATACCTCACTTCTATTGTTCAATTTGTTTTTCTTTCTGTGCTAAACATTTTAGTCTTCTCCAATCAGTTATCAAAAAGTAAGTCTGTGTTTTTATGTCAATATGAGTGCATGAATGAGGCACAATAATTTGAACCAATATTACTTTAATTAAATCACATGCACGATATAAGTATGTGGAACATTATAAAAATACAATATGTACTATTAGAACTTTGCCTTGTATCTTGCTATGTGTGACTTATTTGAGGCGTGTATGACGTGTGCCACACCTGGCCAAAAACAGACATGTTCTCACAGTGTCATGTTCTCAATTATCCAACCTCCTATGTTCAATTTGTTTGGACAATTAGAGCAACATAGAAAGATCAGACATTTTAATAGTCCAAAGTTTCAAATATATTTTCACAACCATGCATACACCACTTGAATTTTGCAAGCATACATTTTTTCAGGAATTTCGTGAGTCAGTGAAAATTATTTCCCAGTGGAAGTCCTGCAAATGTCCTCCCAAGAGCCATGAAATCCTTTAATTTCCTAGCAGCAAAAACAGTATTCAGATAATATTTATTCTAAAATGTCAGTAAAAACAAAAAAACTTCCCCTAATTTTGTTCACACAAAAGCTTTCAAATTATGGAATTGTAAAAATTGAAAGTGGCAAAAATTAAGCAATTTGCAATATTCTATCATTATCAAATCACTTTTTTCTCATGACTTTTCCCCAAAAAATTACAATAGATAAAAAATAGATAAATTAAGTATCTTCAAATGCAGCACCACCCACCATGTAATATGCCCTACTTGTTTCAGTTTAGATTCTCTAGTAAACTATATTCTCACTTCACAGAAATCTTTACCAGTGTCACTCATCACTGGGTCTTTCTAACATCCATTTTTCTACCCTTCACTGTGGTCCGATGCGTGGATGTCATCCTCTGACAAAATATACACATGTGTATGTACAACAAATGTCTCCTGTAGTCACAATAACTGTATTACAATTATTAGACTTTTCATCACTTGTCCACATTATCAAATGTTTTTTTAATTTCCTGTTTTTTTTGAATAAAAATATCTGGAAGTAATTCTCTGCCGAATCAGTGGTGTTGAACTAACCAGATCTAAAGTTCACATTGCTTTGTTAATAAGATTTATTGCATATCCTATAATCCAGTACATTGAAACTGGTGATGTCATTATCTCTCAAGAATCCATTAGACTTGATTTACTTGGTAATATCAAAAGTCCATGTAATTTTTTTAGACACTAGAATTGACATCACAAAAGTGTCTGAATATTTTCAACCCAATGCTGCAAAGCACTTGAGAATGTTTAAGTCTTTGTGGTGTGTGACATGTTGATAATAATAGATTAGTGCATGCACTTAAAAGGGAAGTCAAGCCAAACAACACAATGACCCCCCCCCCTAGAAAAAGCTCCACAAATGTAGGAGAATGCAATTTAAAGTTTTTTTTATATCACATTTGATTCTCTAGATATTCAACATTTCATCAGTACTATGTAGTCAGCCATCTTGATTCTCAAGCAAAGGATTATGGGTAAAGTATGACATCATAGTCTGTTTTCAGAAATTGAGAAAATGATTTCATCTATAACATGGGAAATACTGATGCGAATTAATTTAGCATATTACTTTTGTATATAATTATAGTAATGTAAATTAGAATGTTACAAATAAACATAAATTTGTATACAATATAAGGAAATTTGAGCATTTGTAAGAAAAACATAAAAATAAATATTTTCAGTTCTGTTTCCATGACAACTATTTTATAAGCATGTTTGGCACCAGTACATGTATGCTACCATGTTCAAAAACTTTCAGCCAATTTGAAGTTCAACTTTTGAAGTTATAGATGAAATCATTTTCTCAATTTCTGACAACAGACTCTATGATGTCATACTGTACTTTACCCATAGTCTTTTGCTGAAGAATCAAGATGGTGGACTACATAAATTGATGAAAAATTAAATATCTAGAGAATGAGAAGTGATATAAAAAAAACTGTAAATTGCATGTTCTTACATTTGCCGAGCTCTTTCATCGAGGAGTATTATGTTGTTAGCCTTGACTTTCCCTTTAAAAGCACCTCACATTTAAACTGTGTGCCCTTTCATGAGCCATGCCCACTCAATTACTCAAATAGTGATGTAATTTGACATGGTTGTTGTCATTTGATACTATCCCAATTTGATATATAATTATTATTATTTTTCATATATTTCAATTTTAATTTAATTTTGATTTATTATATATTTGTTGGTAGTTTTTTAGCTTCGGTAATCAAATTTATATAAAATAAAGATTATATAAAAAATTAAAAAATGGTAATAAATATAGTACCAATAAAATAAAATATCGGTATGTGAAATTTGATAAAAAAAAATACACGCTGTAAAGAACCTGAGATTTAAATAGATTTCAATTAGATTGCAAGATAAATTTTGATATAATATGTAAATATTACCTGGACAAGTGAATGAGTGATTACAGTTGTAATACAGATATTATGAATATATCAGACTTTTTTATAATATGGCCTAAAATGTGTGTGTGTTTGCAGTGTCTCATTGGGTTATCACCCGGCTTACATGGTAATTATTAATATCATGTATCATTCTAACATTTAATATTTTGCATGCGTTACCACAAGACAATTGTTTCACAGGAGAACACATAGTGCTACATAGTAAGTTGAAAGTAGCTGTATTATACTAAGTTATTGATCTCAATTTCAAGATTTTTGATAACTAATTTATTATTATTATTTCTTATAAGGTCATATTGTTTGACAATCTTTGAAAGTTGCTTGTCCTCTGTAGTGGGCCATGATTGATTCATTGTTGAGTCTGTTATATTTGGAACATTAATTGTAACAATAACAGGAGGCATCACATCTTTGTCTTTAGGCTTTCAGTGATTGTCAATAATTCTAATATATATATTTGCTATAATGCATGATATGCACATATTCTTTTTGGGATACACAGATAAAAGGCTGTAATGTGGAGTATCACATCTAGCATGGAGTTCATTTTTGGATGTCTTAAGTGTGTGCAAATGTTAATTCCTACATTTACTGTAAACAGCCACTGGCAAAACATAGAGATGTGACTGTCATTTACCATTGCTAGATGTGATATATATACCAAGTGTATGATGGTATAAAAAATAGACTTTAATGTACTAAGGGGGATTTAAATTATTTACTAGTCCTCAATATTACCATATAAGGAAATATGTAACAAATAGAGTTTAAATTTGAATATTTCTTAGCAGCCAAGGACAGAATTTTAATTTCTGTTTTATATGATTAGAATTACAATGTACCTTTGCAAACCAGTGAAAATATTTGTTATGCTCTGGTTTGTACTGATTTAAACTAGTTTATACTGGTTTCACAGTTCCACTAAATACAGTATGTTACAGTAATCATGTTTTATGGCAATATTGGGTACTATTTAGTATAAAATGTTTTAAAGTTTTGTTGTAAATTTAATGTAAGAATATACCTACCGTAAAATCTGTATTAGAAGCCGCATTCCTAATAGAAGTCGCACCTATTTTTTTTGAATAATTGAGAACCAAAAATTCATCATTTCTCATATGTGTAGATGCTCTATTAGAAGCCGCATCCCCCCTGTTGCATTGTACCATTTTAATAGAAGCCGCGGTTTCTAATACAGATTTTACAGTATTAATTAATTGGTTTCTTGATATCATGAATGTTTTAAATATAACTATAACAGTGTGTTTGATTTAATGTGAGGAAAATTCTCACTGTTGCATGTTATACATGTATATATTAGCACAGTTTCAAAATGTTGAATGTTCCTTTTACCTAAGAGTTAATTCTTGTACAAGTTAAACTTGAGCATAAAAGTTTAGTAGAAGCGAACAAAAATGTTGATTGTTAATAATCAAGCATCACCAGATACAGACTGTGCTACTCTGAGTGAAAAAAATACAAGTTCTGTAGTTGCTAGGTGACTGCATGTCCATCAGTGTTGATTATAAATAAAGAAGAAGTGATTCAGAAATAATTTGTTACCCGTTATTAGTAAAACTGCTCATTTCTACCTAATAGATTTCTTTTTCTACTAGACAAAATATACCAGAAAATAGATCAGACATGACAAAATAGACCAGATATAACAAAATAGACCAGAAAATAGACAAGACATGACAAAATAGACCAGAATATAGACCTGCAAACATGCCAAAATAGACCAGACATGACAAAATAGTTCAGAAAATAGACATGCCAAAATAGACCAGATATGAAAAATTGAGCACAAAATAGACCTGACATAACAGAATAGACCAGAAAATATACTAAACATGACAAATAGAAAACAAAATAGACTAGACATAATAAATAGAATAGAGAATAGACTAAAAAATTCAAAATAGACCAGGAAAATGACCAGACATGACAAAATAGACTAGGAAAATGACCTGACACAACAAAATAGACCAGACATATTAAAATAGACAAGACTTGACAAAATACAATGTAGATTAGACATGACAAAATAGACAACAAAATGGACCAGACATTACAAAATGGACCAGACATGACAAAATAGACAAAATGGACCAGACATTACAAAATGGACCAGACATTACAAAATAGACAACAAAATGGACCAGACATTACAAAATAGACAACAAAATGGACCAGACATGACAAAATAGACAACAAAATGGACCAGACATTACAAAATGGACAACAAAATAGACTAGACATTACAAAATGGACCAGAAATTACAAAATGGACCAGACATTACAAAATGGACCAGACATGACAAAATAGACAACAAAATGGACCAGACATTAAAAAATGGACAACAAAATGGACTAGACTTGACAAAATAGACGACAAAATGAACTAGACTTAACAAAATAGATTAGACATTACAAAATGGACCAGAAATTACAAAATGGACCAGACATTACAAAATGGACCAGACCTGACAAAATAGACA